AATATTTCACGACATAAGATAAACATGTCAGATTTGTTGTTACAACGTTCAAAAGTGCAAGACTTTTAGACTTTGGCACATTAAAATTCATAGGATTTTGTATATCCAAGTTAATTTGTGTTACTGGACGCAAATTATAACCCAAATATTCAGTCTTTCAGAATACTCCATTACAACTTAAAATCCTACCTACACACTTTTAGTATGCCATAGTCTTTCATTATTTCCTTCAACTTGGTTTTCATCTGTTGAGATGTGAGCGAATTCATGTCTACGAATGTTCCGAAAGATCAGTATTAAGTTTTCTATACTTTCAACAAACCCAATTTGTATGCTTAAGAATGATGCTTAATGAATTTGCAGAAGTAATATGTATGTGATAAACGTATTTGATTAAGATTCACTATTTTACTTTGTCTGACGTATTTTGTAAATATACATAATTATTAGTGTTGTATCATATTATATACTTAACCGAGTGATCAGTTTATTGAACAATAGTAGTACATTTTTATTTTTACCACAGCTGTCGCTATAAACAGCTAAATGACAAATTTGGAGAAGTCCATACTTTCTACTTATTTATTGTTAGTTATGCATTTAAACAAACGTTCTTCGTACTACATATACTTGCATATGCGCAAAGACAATACCCAATGCTTTATTTCGTAATTATCAAAAGGAGAAAATAAGCTGTACATTGATTTTTAGCAATCTGCATAAATTATTCCTTGAACGACATACCTACATTACATGATTACGCATGTCTGACAATGAAAATACGCATGAATGTGAAAATTAGGGTGCATGATACTATAGATAATAAATTTTGATTCAACAAATACCATTAAGTTACTTTTCTAAAGAACAGCAATGATCCTCTGCAATACCAACCCTGACAAACATATCACCGTCTATTATGTATCTGAAGAAACATTGATCTCTGACTAAATTATTGTGTATACAACATTACGAATTATATATGCACACACAATTTGATGATGGTCACCTAACGTAAGAGAATTGGCATTTTTTCGTGAATTATTATTGTAAATTTCAAACGAGCCGTTTACAAAACAAGCATGCACATTACTGCGAGGCAAATTATTACATACGTGGAATAAACTTGACAGAATATATTGTAAATATAATAACGTTTTATGTAATAATAATTTTGAATCTGCCAACATCCACGTGTCTAATAGCGTTGAGCTGTCAATTAGATTTATACGATTCTTGTATTCCTTGGAATAACTTCCCCATTATTGAAATACGAAGTTCTAGGTGAAAGTAGACTGTAATGATGACTATTTTTTATCAGTCTAGGTGGATGACCATCGTAAACTAATTTATACACAGATTAAAATTAAATAGATTTACCTATTGGCAAGTTGTGTAAAATAAATAAGCTTACTATAATTCTATTATTATGATGTCACTAGTTAAGTAAGCAATATAAAATATAAGATACGAAAGTAATATTTATCTTTTATTTATCACGCATCTAACCAGTCTCATTAAGACTGTACAAGTTTACTAGTTAAGGTCATAGCCAACGATATTAAATAATCTAAATACACCACGTGCGCTCAAAATGTGTTCCAATAAAGAAGTGCTAGAACACCACTCAAGCATTTCTTGGTTCACAGTCACGCGCGGACCATTGAAAAATCCCTTTATTCTCATTTGTTCGATTCATTAGTTCGATCGTCGAACTAGTGAGATTTTATTTTCTCATTAGTTCGATCGTCGAACTACTGAGATTTTACTGTTCTCATTTGTTCGACCTTCGTCGAACTTATTTTCTTTATTTATCCATTTTCCTTACCAGAACCTCTTACAAGTACGTATTTCAAAATAGTGCAATATTGACAAGGGCATACTCCCGTATTAGAGAGAGATTATTAAAAGTTTTATTGTTTTTTTTATTTCTTCGTGGCGATTCACACCTTCGGTCAGTCTATCCCAAGGAACTTACATACTATCTGGAATGCTGACCTGACCCTCAAAAGCGTTCCGAACAGTAACATAAGTGATGAGAAATTCTTTTTCTCTGAATAAAGTAACCTTCTAATTTCAATTGTATATCCTTAGCTTAAAGTCCAAAAAACTATTAAAATCTTTGAACGACCTTCCGCGCTTATTATTAAAAAACATTTATAAAAATCACTATTTTGAAAAAAGTACCAGGAGACCATACATAACTAAGAGGTTCTGGTAATGAAAATGGATAAATAAAGAAAATAAGTTCGACGACGGTCGAACAAATGAGAACAGTAAAATCTCAGTAGATCGAATATCGAATTAATGAGAAAAAAAATCTCACTAGTTCGACGATCGAACTAATGAATCGAACAAATGAGAATAAAGGGAAAAATTGAGATGCCGCAGAGCTCCGTGAAAAAATGCTGAAAAAATACTTATAGTACGTAGTATCGTTTTTCGACAGGTACCTAATCAATGTTTGTTAATTTAACGCATTTAAAGCAAATTTTGTTCTAATACTTACTATAAACTGATTTAATAGAAAATATTTGTGATATTCATATGCATGGTCTTTTCCTCGCGGTCCGTATCTGCTGTATTGGTAACAGCGCATTCAGAATTGCGTGTCGTGTCAGAGTCAAAGAAATAAGGTCTATATTCTTCCGCTTATAGCAATAAGTCTTAAGATTTTATGAGCCTGCATTTCGAAATGTCATGACTATTTGACGTTTGCGTTTTAATGAAGACCTTACGCAGTATGCATTAAGGGTGACTTTTAATGTTCAAAAAATGCCTTATATTGTTTTTGACTACGCGATCATCTTACAGAGCTCCGTGGATCGTCCAATGTACCTTTTGGACAGGTTTCGGCCACGATTTTGTTCGTGTTGGTGTATCTTTGACGACTTCCTTGGCCGAGTGGTTTGTACGCCGGGTTTCACGGTGTCGCCGACTCGAGAGGTTCCGGGGTCGAATGTTTGTGTGATGAATACGAGCATTTGTACTCCAGTCATGGATGTTTAATATGTAATCTATATATATAAAAATGAAACCCGTTTTCCGTTGTCACGACCTAACATGAAAACGACTGGACCGATTTGGCTGATTTTTTTTTGTAGTTTTCTAATACTCTGTACAAGGTTCTTACGGAAAAAAATATAAAGAAAATCTGTCTGTCTGTCTGCCTGTCCGTATGTCGCAGCCACTTTCATCCGAAATTATAAGAACTATACTGTTGAAACTTGGTGAGTAGATGTATTCTGTGAACTGCATTAAGATTTTTTCACAAAAATAGAAAAAATAACGGCGGATTGCACTCCGTGAGTGCCGGCAGAAGTGAAAGCTTGAATATTAACATTGTGCATTTTTGATATTTTGGAACGGTTAGAGAATACATTGGAACGAATTGCTTTAATTATCAGTATAAAAGTACTATAATTTATGTGGTAGAATACAATTTTTTTTTGCGCTATCGTACACAAACATGACAATTTATATTACATTAAAAAGTTTATCTCTCAGAAAAATCAACTTACATGAATCACATTTAAGCGCACCTAGCGACATCTATTATAAAAAAAATCAATTTCTTCGCAATAAAGCTGCCACCTGACGTCCTAGACAGAGACTTATTATTATAATACGGTAAAATAAAATATTACTATGTTTCGTCCAATATATTGAAAGTCAACATCATCATCATCAGCCTATTAATGTCCCCACTGCTAGGGCACAGGCCTTCCCTATGGATGGAATAGGGAGATTGGGCCATGACCCGCCACGCGGGCCCAATGCGGCGGCGGCTAACGACTGCAGATGCAGCCGGGACCAACGGCTTAACGTGCATTCGGACTATTATGATAATATATATGTTGTTTTTTATTTAATAAAAATTAGTAAAGTCCTCAAGTATGGCGAGACCAGGGAAATAAGGATTCATTTTTATATGGAGGATATTATAGATTCCAGTTCAAATTGAATAGGTACTCATACATAAGATAGGTCAGCTATACAAAATAAAGTAGTGCATCAAAGCTACGCTAAGGCGGTACGAAGTTCGCCTGGTCAGCTAGTCTTTATATATATTCTGTGAGTGTGTATGTCACTGAACTTCTCTTAAACGACTGGACCGATTTTGATGAATTTTTTTGTGTGTGTTCAAGGGGATCTGAGAATGGTTTAGATTCACAAAGACGTGTAGACAGGACAACGTCTGTCGGGTCCGCTAGTTCTATATAAATATACTTATATATGTACAGTATATGTATTCTATCCGTTACCCTAGTATCCCATAACACAAGCCTTATAGTGCTTACTTTGGGGCTGGGCTAATTGGTGTGAGTGTTGGCAATATTTATTTATTTATCTAGGGACACATTTCAACCCGGGAGCGGATCGTTACTGACTCGCCTTTCGGTTTGGCTTGCCGTCAAACAGGCGTTCGCGTTACGAATCCGATTAGTGTGCGTTGTAGTGGGGAGTTTCATTTGCACCCCCACCCTCCTCGCAGCCTACCGCCCCGGACTATGGCCCTTTTGGTCCTAGGGTAAATAAACCCCTGAGTTTCATACAAATACATAATACTAAGTGTCGCCGCACACGGGCCACCGACCACAACCACAAAATGTCGCCACCGGCATATTTCTTGTAGTTTTCATACATTTTATATGGATTCGTCACACGGTCCGCCGATGGCCGCCACACGCTACAAATGGTCGTGGTACGACCATACGCAATCTATAATTTTTTTAATAGGTTTTCATTATTAAACCATATTTGAAAAGTTTCACACATAATGTTGGTGTTTTACACCCATGAATATAATTCACATTATCCTTTTGTATGTAATTAAATAAACTGTTACACAAAAGAAATGGGACACCATAAAAATCTTAAAATGTATTTAATTATTTTAAAAATTACGTGTTTAAAATAGGCACTACACCGGTGAACGATAGCAAAGGAATTGTCACACAACATTAACAGTAGATAGCTGAAATGAAAGCTTGAATACGTCAATGGTTGGTATCCACAACTTCAGTTTTGAGTTTGGAGGCGAGTGCTCTGCGCAGCTGCATCGCGTCCGGCGTCGGTGGAGGCGGCGTACCAGCCAGTGCCGCTTGCGCAACTCGCGCAGATCGAGGCCTGGGAAATTGTACCAACGATGCTTCCCCATCTGCACAATGAGAACTTCGTCAGTATCCCTCACTGATGAGACGTGGCACAGGCACGGACCCCCTCCCCCCATCCTACTAGATTCCGCATTACTATTTTTTTGTTTGTTTGCAATCTAAATCGCTAGAGTTAGGCATGCAGGGAGGTTATGCCTCATTTTGATTGAACGCATCAGTGCGACGTCATGGTCGGATAACAAATTTGGTGAAATGATGTATCTATAGATGCAAAGCCGGTTATTAACGATTTTAACCCTGCGGTTAAAATAGATAGATAAATTCTTTATGGCACACCCACAAAAGAATACAAAAAAAGTAAACAATAAAATAATGTGGGCAAAGGCAGCCTTATCGCTTTAAGTGATCTCTTCCAGACAATCTTTGCGGTAAAGGCTAGCTAAACGAAGAGGCAGTTGTAGTATGCCAGCAAGGTTAAACAAAGAAATATACATATTTTAGAATTAATTTTATAGTTAATATATTAGTGCGGTAAGTTGGTTATTACAAACGAGTAGACAAATGTACCTTACAATATTCACGAGTTTGTAATACCAATCCGCACGAATGTCATACGTTTTTCAACACATTTGCGAGAAAATCCACGGATAGATAAGTTACAATCAAGCGTATCAAAATTTCATCTTATGGAAAACAAACAAAGGTGCAAATTCATTTTCAGAAAGTACGTACGTAGGTAGTATTATTTCCTCACAAATGTGTTATAAAACGTCGTATGACATACGTACGGTTTAATAATTACAGCCTCTGCCTTTTTATAGGGCTCGGGCTAACAATATCGCCTCGGCTGTAATTCTCAACTTATATCATAACTAGCTGTGCCCCGCGGTGTTACCCCCGGCTTATTAGGGAAAATAAATTGTGTATTAACAGTAAAAACAATGACTATTCACATTTCTAGAAGCAAAATAATTTAAACTTAAACATCGGAAAGATCAATTTACAAAATTTGATAACTGACAGAACGGGAGAGATGATTATGCTGTCTTATGTAATTGTTTTTGTGTTTCGGGTCGTAGAGCGAGACCTAGAAATCACTTTACTGCAGCACATCCCGGTAAACCACAATGCGGGACTTATTGTTTTCTGCGTAAATAAAATGTGTTTTTTGCTCTCGACACACGGGAGCATGTGGTCCCATACGATCAATTTACACCATTGCAATAGAGCACCACGACTACTACTTTTACTGATGTTGCAAATGGGCGTTTCTTCACTTGCAAGTTTCAGCGGGAGCTTGAATACTGAGTGTCCGGTTCTGTCACCACTCAGCTAGGTTGCGGCTATTCTGGAGGATGCAACAGCCAGCGCAACCACTTTATCTTTGCACAACTGTGCCAGCAGCAAGTTCATTAAAAAAGTCTTGCCGGTGCCCCCTGGTGCGTCCAAGAAATAAGACTTTCAGCGCTTCTTTAAAAATTATGTCTAGTGTTATCCCTTGTCGAGGAGCTCGATGGCGCAAGTGGTTAGCGCGTTCAGCTGCGATCGTCGAAGTTAAGCAACTTTCGCATTGGTCGGTTATTGGATGGGTGACCAAAAATTTACTATCTCGAGCTCTTCCGTGCTTCGGAAGGCACGTTAAGCCGTTGGTCCCGGCTGCATCTGCAGTCGTTAGCACCCTTCAATCCGCACTGGGCTCGCGCGGTGGGTCATCGCCCAATCTCCCCATTCCATCCATAGGGAAGGCCTGTGCCCCAGCAGTGGGGACATTAATAGGCTGATGATGATGATGATCCCTTGGTATCGGCGAGCAATGTCCTCTGACAAAGCGCTTTTTATACTTGCACCACAATTGCCGGGAGTTGGAGAGTCCGCAGGTGCTTATCATAATCGCAAAGAGCTGTCTCAACGTAGCCGCTGACCGGCACAAAATTGCGCACTCCATCGTTGCGTCCCAGTGGCCGTCGTCTTCAAGCAGCTTCATCGCCTCACATGCTTCTTGAAAAGTGGCCTTTTCCTACCCATCGACGATTTTGAGCGCTTGAAAACTGGTGGAGGACCCCGGATTCTAGTAATAGCAACCTAACACAATAGCACTCAAAGTGTGTTATGTGTACCTACGGTATAAATTCTACCGTGGGCATCTAAGGCTTTCACACCAGGCCAACCGTCGACGGGTGCGCCCTGCACGCAACGTTCCATTGTTTTCGTGACGTATTCCACGTGCGAGCAAACTCGTCTTCCTGGCACAGTTGCTCGCTCCATACCTTGAATGATTTGACACCGTTTGTCAGTTTCCGCGTCGTCGTCTCCCATAAAATACACCTGTAAAAATTGTGGCCAGTGTGACCGTTTTTGGTATTTTCGGTACTAAATTGGTATAATTTGGGCTCCGTAAAACTGATCTAGCTTTTTGTTGGTATAATTTCAAAATCTGGTATTTTTTAGTACAATTTTAAACTTAGAATAAGTTTTAGCATATTTTTTGGCAATTGGCAACACTGACTTCCATTCGTTCACTTAAGTCTTCTACGCACTTTCCATCTTGCTGGATCCAGCACGCGGGACAGCGCTATACACGTAAAAGAGATGGGGATACAGGATCTCTAGATATGGAATTACATGAAATATACTTAGGTGTAAAAGTATCTAATGAAATAGCGCTGTTAAGAAGTCAATAAAATAATAGTAGTATCGAATTTAGAGATTTTTGCTAAGGTGTCAAAGCTTTTTGATTGAGCTATGTAATCAACTTAAATGTAGATTTCACATTCATGAAAAAATATTTTCCGAGTTACGGTTCATAGATCGACAAGTAGCGGCTTATGAAAATTTTACATCGCTAATCAGCGTTATGAATAGGTTTTCAAACATTATAACAAATGATACCACAAAACAATTGATTGACGAGGAATATCGTCAAATTAAATACGATTCCGAAGTACAAAACTTAATATGTGGTTCCAGTAGTAGTACAAGGGCAGCTGTAAATGTAGAACAGTTTTGGGACAAACTGAATCATTTTCTTGATAGTAGGAACGTCCCTAAATACAAAAATTTTACTAACTTTGTTAAATGTCTAATGTGCATACCCATTTCTAAAGCTGAATGCGAAAGATTTTTCAAAAGTAAATATTGTTAAAACGAACTATAGAAACAGATTTATATCTAAACATATTGCGAGCATTTTACATGTAAAACAAGGTCTAAATGAAAATTGTGTCTCATTTGACCCACCGAAAGACATGTTAAAAAAAACTCATCCAATATTGACTATTTAGAATAATTCATATGTGTAAATATAATTTTATTGATTAAAATGATAATAAACACAATTTGAACGTAAGTGTTTGTTTGTTTGTCCTTCTTTCACGATCCAGCGGGGAAAGTTAGTTTCAGTATATTTTTAGTATAATCCAGCATGAGCTTTGGTATTATTTAGTACTGGGAACATTATGATTTTAGTAGATCACCTTTTTTTAAAACGGTCACACTGATTGTGGCTGTTCATTAGGTGATCATCACCCATTTTGTGATGTAGTTGGCCATGCACTGTGAACGTTGGGGAAAATCCAGGCATTGCAATTTGTCCGCCCCGAACGACGACATGTAAAAGCATGGGTTGTACGCAGTTTTAGAACCGTCAAGATTCATCAATTTCACCTGTAAATAATGTATTTAAGGGTTCCACAGGCTCTTCTAAAACAGGAATGGCTACTTTGCCCCCAGAGCTACACATTCCCGCTCTTTCCTCATTCCATTTTAATGCCCCACAATGGTGACACACATTTTCCATACGGCAAATTTTCATGAGCCTGTGGCTATTGTAATCCAATGTCAAGTCATATTCAAAACCACATTTTTCAAATAAACCCCAAGCATTTCTGGTAAATGTTTGCCGGCACTCTGCTTGATGCTGAGCGACTGCGAGTCGTCTAGAATTTGTCTCATCTAGGTACTATCTCGGAAGCACGCGGATTAGACATTAGCTGGGATTGATTTAGCCGTCGAGAAGTTTCTTTATCAGGTGTTTCAATGGCACGCTGAGTGTCCACTCATATACGCTATGCGTTTTCTTGATGCCAAGTAGCTGCTACTTCAGGTGTCTCTAATGCACGCTGATTAGCCATAAGCTGGGCATGCTCTCGCCGTCGAGAAGTTCCTTCATCAGGTGTTTCAATGGCACGCTGAATGGACAACGTTGTGCGTTTTCTTGACGCCGAGTAGCTGCTTCTTCATGTGTCTCTAATGCACGCTGATTAGCCATAAACTGGGCATGCTCTCGCCGTCGAGAAGTTGCTTCATAAGGTGTTTGATTGGATCACTGTGTGGCCATAGGCTGTGCGTTTTCTTGACGCGGAAAAGCTGCCTCATCAGTTGTCTCTTATGCACGCTGAGAAGCTATGCGGATAGGATTTTCCAGACGCCGAGCATCAGCTTGCGCAGAAGTTTCTCCAGTTCTGACTTCTGCCTGACGTGTTGCTTGGTCACCTCTGCGCTGTTCAGTATCATAAGTAGATTCTTGCTGTCTTGCAATTTTCATAGATGAAGCTCTTTGTGAGCTCTGTGAACGATTTGGTTTACAATTGTTTGTCATAATTAGAAACACAAAAAAATTATAACAATATCGTTGCCCTAGAAATATGTATGAAATATTAATCTATCAAAATAGCTTTGACATGAATGTTCAAAATAGCTTTGACATGAATGTCAAAAAATATGTACCTACTTAAACAAAATTCATTTGCATCGATTTTCCCATCGAAATAAGATATTTTCCCGCAGTAAAATGTAGCCTATGTGTTAATCCAGGGTATCAGCTAACTCCACACCAAATTTTATTAAAATCGTTCCAGCCGTTTAGACGTGAAGAAGTAACAAACATACACACTCACAAACTTTCGCCTTTATAATATTAGTGTGATGTACTGTTACCGCACGCTCCGCTGTATGCCCAGTAATTTTAAATTTTCGAACAATGTATACAACCTTCGTAAATGCATTTTTGAGCAAATGTGCTGAAAATGTATTTTGAGTCATTAAACCGCGAGTGCTACGGTAAAGAAGCACTATTAGATGGCGCTAGTGGTTTGGAATGCGCAGTGAGGGGTGACAGCACTATCAAGGCCTAAAATTCCTGACTTCACTACCTAATGACATACTTACTGACTTTTACTTACCTTATTAGTGAATAAATTCCCCATTTGCTGGACTGCTCTAATCTTCAATATGTGCATGTGCTGCGTTTTATTGATGTTGTATTCTAATCACTTTTATGCAAAAGTTGGAGATAAATTCAAGTTATTTTATTGGTGTTTATAATCTTTACCTCCAGATTCGCCGCTGACTTCAGCCGCACCAAGTCTTTTCTCGCGCACTTGTTTCTTTAGAGCCAACAACTTATCGCGCTGCTGCTTTAAATATTCTTGTCGCGCTCGTACTTCCTCTTCACTTACCTACAAAATAAGCAATTATTGAAAATATTGACGCATTGTTAGCAGCAGGGTAAGTTAGAGGTAGGTATAAAACTAAAAATTCTCTAATAAATATTTTGGTTCTACAATGTTTGCTAATGAACTGAACCAAAGGGGTAAAACTCCCAATTTGCTGTTTTTCACGAACATTATGTAGCATTCTAGGTATTGATTAATCTCATTGAAATATTGTTCTAAAGAGGTAGTGTGTAATTCGTGTTTTAGCTACACATCTTATTCCGTGTTATTTAACTTTGTACTTTGATTCAATTAACGTACTTCAATTTTTCTAGGCAATGGTTTTGGAGGTTCCTCTGGAATTGCCGAGTCCTTCTTTGGAATGATCACCTCCACTTTCGGTGTCTCTTCTTTCTTCTCGAAACTGTGCAGTTTAGATAGAAGAGTTTTCTTTTCAGCGACGACCTCTTCATGAGCGACTGGAACACAAACTACGTCTGGTTCTTCTTTATTTAATTCTTCTAGTTGCAACCTAGAAATGGTTAAGTTTTTAATGGTAGTAGGTACTTAGGCCTACCTTCGATTTTATGAATAACTCTGTCGTAAAGTATCTTGCTATTCATTGAACAATAGTTACATGCCACTCGGCCTCGGAGGTCGTCACCACCTTTTAACACATAAACTAGTAAGAATAGTCGTATTGTGTTGCTAATTAAAAAATATTATATATATAGGTAAGTAGTTGCGTTTTAATCACATTTGTTGCTGGTTCATTTATTTCCTATTAGCAGACTATTAAAAAGTCTTTGAAGGGAAAATTCTGATGAGAGTTAGGTTTTATCCCCCTAATTTATGTATTCAAAATGCATACTTCTTTATTTCCGTCATAACATCATCGTTGTCAGGCCATTCCTCAGTACCGTTAGTTGACGGCAGATCGAAATCTGGCTCGGACGTAAACAGATTTGGCATAGCTCCATAACGTCTCTCTATTAATTCCAATGCCTGTAACAACAAACACTTAAAAAATTCCAACGAAACTAAAAAATACTGGCGTAAGCAAATTTTTATAATGACGTGCTTGTCAAAACACTGATAAGTAAACTGGGTTTTCAGCTCAAGATGAGACCGTCTCGTCTGTCAGGGGAACTATCTTCTCCACAGCTTTGTAGTGGTAGGTAGCGACTGCCGAGATCGGAATGCTTACCAAATATGTTGTAGTGTAGGTACTTGTTGCTAAATACTTATGTTTGTTGAGTTAATTGAATTGCGCCTTCAAAGTGAGAGTGCCATAAGTAAACATATATCTGGACTCGCGACTAAACTATTTCATGAATAGGAACCATTTGCCCCTAGCTCCATATAATAAGTATAATATAAAAGGTCCTTGTCACCTGCAACTGTAACTCCACGTTTTTGTGCGTCATCATTTTGACAAACATCTCGTAATCGTTTGCCGCCCAGATCTGTTCGAACAGCCTCTGATGGAAGTGGGCTGGTAGACCGGCTAGGTCGCGAGCTGACAGCCGGCACGCGGCCTCGAATTGATCGGCGGTGATTCCGATGTCGTCCATGAACGAGCCAAGCATCACGTCCACCTTTGGAAATAATAAAAAATTGACATGAAATATATTTATCTTCGACGAGATATCCTACCTATGCCTAGAGGTAGACTACTGTAAGGATTCCAGAAGGGTATCCTGGGCGGCACAACTCTTCTAAATAAAATACTAAATAATTGAACTTTTAGCTAGATTTTATAGAATTTCGGAATAGAATTACAAGCACCATGGAATAATAACTTAACACACCTTTTATCTATGAACTTAACTATAATTATGTGATAAATTAGTTTTTAACGGGTTAATGTACGAAACTTTATTTATTTATTGACGTTTATTGACAAATAAAAAATCAGTATTCTGACGATGCAGACCTGAAAAGGTGAAACGTCAATAAATAAATAAAGCTTCGTGCATTAACCCGTTAAAAACTAGTTTTATTTAATGAGTGATGTGTGTGAAAACCTAAGAAACAAATATATTATAATGTGGCCCATTATCGTGCAGCTCAGTTCAGTTCACAAAGTCATACGCGGTCATACTGGGATATGATATATTTAGGGTTCTGTATTCTACACTAGAATTTCAGGGTGGGCAGAGAGTTTTCCACAGTTGCCCCCCTAGTTACCCTTGCATACTGCTCTATGACTTCGGGAGCTTTTCACCTATTACACAAGGATTCAGGGAGTGCGTGGATTTCAGCGGGAGCACGGAGCGAACGCCTTATTCCAGAAGCAAAACAGGTCAAGTTACAGAAATGTCCTTACTAACCAAGTTACGATATTCTTCATGAATCTTTTTGTATTCTGGGTTGTCGGGTACATCGCCATTATCCGTTGGTTCAAAATCTGAAACAGGATTTCAATCGGATTTTTTTTTACAAATTTCAATTGTAATTGATGGAGTTAATGGATTGCTACTGTAATCATAAAAGGAAGCTATAAAACTTCAAATTAACGAGCAGGTACAAGCGATTATCACTTAAAAGTGGCGGATCTCCAACTTCTTTGACTGTACAGGAACAATTAAATTATTTTATATTGTGCGTGATTTACAACAATCAAGTAGGTCTACAGGAATATGAACAACACTCACGCAGAGACTTTTCCTCAATAAAAGTTTGTAACGGAACGTTCCAAACTGGGCCATGAAGAAACCCCACTAAGGAGTCAAAGACCCAAGCGTTGCTATCTAAGTTTTCCATTAGAACAGGTACTGCAATGCTGCAAGTGTCTGCGCCTTACTCAAATTATACGGCAATTTATCGACTGGTACTGATAGGTCACTTAGCGCCTAATAAAAGCATAAACATCGAATGGCCGTGACGTTTATTTGTATTTCCAGGTTGCTACGGTTACTATACTATTACTAGCATAGAATAGGGCCTCATTTTTTCCTGAGCCGGGTGCAATTTTATATGCATTGGCCCTTCTGTGTTTTTCGATAAGATAGGTCTTAGGTATTTTTCGCTGCTATTGCAGGCAGTTCCTTATTTTTTAGATGCTGTAGCGATTAAGACAAATTTGATATCTATACTAATATTCTAGAGGTAGGCTTGCCAGATGGCCGAGAAATCCTGATTGTCCTGGAATTTTGCGTCTTGTCCCGTGTCCAGTAATTAGACTTTATTGCCTCGGAATCCCCGAATGCCAGTTTTTTCATAATATTACTATAAATACACCCTTTAATTTACCATAACAATGGTAAAAAGTAGATAAAATAATTTTAATGCTATAATCGTGTTTCAATGATTTTTAGCCTATCCGCCTTCGAAGGCCAATTACAGCAAAAATAGGCTGATTAAGTACATTTTTTTTCATGTTTTTTGGTAGTTTTATATCATGCCGAGTTATTAATTTTAGCCAAAAGCTATGGAAACTCTTTTTTGTATTTTTAAATTGAAGTTGAATGTTTGATTAAATTCTACTAAAAAGTAAAGTTCCAGCTTTCAAGCCTTTTTTGAGTAACTTTAAGTAATTTCAGGAAGCTGAGTTATTTTTTTTATTAGAACAACATGAAGACAATCGTCCCCCAAAAAAAAGCAAAATACTTACTACGAAAAAAGATATGAATTTTTGTAACCTCCCCGGCAGACTTCATTAAAAATACACAAAAAAAATATAACTCGGAAACTAAGAAAAGTCGCGGAACGTGGAACATACATGGGGTATTTTCGGATACGAGCAGGTGCGAGGAATCTAAAAAAAAATTGTTTACGTCACTAATTGTACCATCCTGTATATTGTCGTTAGTAATATTATTTATTGTTGAAAAAAATTTAAAGCTTTCGTTTCTTTTGTAGTTTTTCTTAAATAATCAAAGTTAATTGAAAACTGTGTTAAAAAAATAAATATAAGTATGGATGAAGGTACATCAATTGACTTTTTTTTTCAACACTGAACTTAGCGCACTCTGCTGGTGCATTTAAAAAACTAATTCACGACCCAATTAAGCATCAGCATAATTCGGTATTGTGCGCCACTGAGTCGCATTATGCTCTGTAATTGGAAAACTACCATTGCAGCGCTCCTTCAACTCCCAAACAACAAACACAAATGTGTAGAATGTAGATGGTTGTTCGTCAGTGATCGGCGTCTCGGAGTTTGTCAAGGACGACGCGACCACAGCTCAGAAGAAGCTCACACGACTGGCCGACTACCGTTCCGACCTAGCGCGAACTGCGAGCAACCGACGACGCAACTACGGCGGGGCGCGGGGGGAAACGCACGGGATAGGTCAACTACCGCTCTGACTTAGCGCTAACTGCGTACTCATAATCTTAGATATAAGTAGGGTCATTTTGTCATTTTTTCATGCGATCCAGAACAGCAAAATTGTAATAATAAATAAGAAGAAATAAACTACCAAGGAAGAAAATCGAGTTTCAATCATACAGTCCACAACAAGCTGCTGGTCACATCGAGCCGAATTTGAAGAACGCCGGAATTGAAGAACGCCGGAATTGAAGAACGCCGGAATTGAAGAACGCCGAAACGCCGGAATTTGAAGAACGCCGAAACGCCGGAATTTGAAGAACGCTGAGACGCCGGAATTTGAAGAATAAAATATTGAAGATGGTCAAGACACGCTCCCAGGAAGCCACGCCGCCTGCACAGACCGTTTTCACGGAGCCACCACGCTCACCGTCGGGAGGAGGCACAACCCAAGAACGGGAAGACTTGTCGACCAGGCTGAGGACAAACGTCCACATGGACGGTAGTAACGTCATAGGGGCCGGGGGGGGCACCCTGCCGGGTACCGCATTTCACACCCCCGCGCACCCCGCTCACGTCGAAGCATCACGTGACCCGTCACCGGCGCGATCAAGAAGATCGACAAGTAGCGCCGTGGCAAGAATACGAAACGCACAACTGCAAGCGGAAGAGCGACTGGCCGAAATAAGGAAGAAGGAACTGGCGATCGAATCGGAACTTATTAAGAAGAGACTGGCTGCCGACATTGAAGAAATTCGTGAAGAGGAAGCTGAAGCGGAAGGATCATGCATCGAGAATACGAACGAACGAGTTGACGACTGGCTGCGACTGCACACGACGATGCCCTCCGAGGTGCGGGGGGAGTCAACCACTCCGGGATTCACGGCGCCCATGAACGACGGGCCCACCCCTGCGCACGAACTGCGCACCCCGCGGATGGTGCGGGGGGAGCGACCGACCGGTGCAGTACACTTCGAAGAAACTCCTGCACGCAAAGCAAGATCACCGACGCCGACGCGACACAGAAGGGGCATCGAGCAACTGGCAGAAGCGTTCGAGAAGATGATACGGGTGCGCCCCGCGCCCCGGCAGATCACCGAGCTGCCTACTTTCTCCGGCGCCGTCAACGAGTGGCTACCCTTCAAGGCTGCGATGGTCGAGTCTACTGCTACCTACGGATTCACGCCCACAGAGAACATGGCCCGTCTACGCAACTGCCTACGGGGGGAGGCCCGTGAAGCCACATCCGGACTCCTGAGCACCGCCGGCAGCCCTGAGCAAGTGATGCGTACCTTGGAGCAATGCTTCGGAAGACCGGAGTTCATCATAGACAAGACCGTGGAAGAGCTGCGCCGCCTGCCAAGACTGGGGAGCACCGCCAACGAGCTGAACGCCTTCGCAGTGAAGCTTCAGAACATCGTCTTGTATGCTGCAGAACATGGATCGTCAAGACTACCTACACTACCCGATGCTGGCCAGGGAGGTGCTGGAGAAGCTAAGCCCCTACCTGCGCGCCCGGTGGTGTGACTACGCTCAACAGAACGTGAAGTCCCACGAGCCACAGATCAAGCTACTGTCGAAGTTCCTGATGGATGAAGCGGACCTGGCGATGCGGTTTACCTATACCGCACAGCCGGCAACAACGTCGAAGACTGCGAAGCCACCAGCCACTACCCCAGCGAGCGCTACGAAGAGGAAGGCGACCATATACGCCACCACCACAGACGCCGCGCCACCATCACCGAAGTCTACGAAGACCGATGAACAGCAAGAACGGAAGTACGAATGCGCCGCATGCAACGAGAGCCACACGTTGCCGAACTGCAAGAAGTTCAAAGAAGCCAGCACCGACGAACGATGGAAGATCGTCAAGGAGGAGGGCATTTGCTTCAAATGTCTCGAGAAACGCCATCGACGCCAGAGCTGCAACAAGAGGGCCTGCGGTTTGAACGGATGCCGCCGTCCTCACCACCGACTGCTCCACACCGAACCCGTGGAAGAAGCGAAGAGTGCAAGCAACGAGACCGTATCAGTCGCCACTGTCGCCGGCAAGGATAGAAGCGTGGTACTGCTGAAGGTGGTTCCAGTCACCGTCGGGGGCCCACAAGGGGAGGCCAACACCTACGCACTACTCGATGAGGGCTCAACCGTGTCACTCATGGAAGACGACCTGGCGCAGAAGTTGGGCATCGAGGGGCCAGCGCGACCACTGCACATACGTGGCGTAGCATCCACCAGCCAAGAAGCCACCAGCAAGCTCGTCGAAGCAACGGTGAAGGGCAAGAGTGACGACACCACGCACCACGTGAAGCTACGCACCATCAGGGAACTGGTGCTCCACCACCAGTCCGTTCCAGCAAGCGTCCTGAAGCACACACACCTGCAAGGGCTGAAAGAAGCCGACGTCTGCTACGGGACAGCGAGGCCGCAACTACTGATAGGCGCCGACAACTGGCACCTCATCGTGTCACGCCAACTCAAGATGGGACGAAGGAACGAACCAGCCGCTTCGCTCACCGGGCTCGGATGGACGATCCACGGCACCGTACCACGCACGCTGTACGCAAAGGACGCCGAATCGATCCTGCACGTCTTCACGCCAGACTGCAACAGCAATGACCGCATAGAGAGGCTGGTAGAAGAGCACTTCAAGATCGACGCGCTTGGAGTATCCCTGAAAGAGAAGACCGAAGACACGGACCAACGCGCCATCCAAGTCTTCAACGCAACGGCCAGGCGAATCGGCAGACGCTTCGAAGTAGGACTACCTTGGCGTAAGGAAGAAGTCACCACGCCGCCCAGCTACAACGCCGCTCTGCGAAGACTAAAGAACGTCGAGAGGAGGTGTGAACGAGAACCCCACTTTGCGTCGCGATACAAACAAGAAGTCGAGGCGCTACTGCAGAAGGGCTACGCACAGCCATGCGACGGCACCGAGGAAGAGAGCCCGCGGAAGTGGTACTTGCCGCACTTTCCGGTTTTCAACCCAAACAAACCGGAGAAATTGCGCCTGGTCTTCGACGCCGCCGCCAAGTCACACGGAGTCTGCCTGAACGACCTACTGCTGGAGGGACCGGACCTGCTACAGTCACTGCAGGGGATCATGTTCCGGTTCAGAGAGGGCCCAGTGGCAGTGACCGCGGACATACAGGAAATGTTCCTGCGCATCGCGATAAGAAAGGAAGACCAGCCGGCCCAAATGTTCCTGTGGAGAGAAAAGCAAGATCAACCACCGCAAAAGTACAAGATGACGGCCCTGATCTTCGGCGCATCCAGCTCACCCTTCCTGGCCCACAGCGTGAGGAACCGGAACGCGGAAGACTTCGCGGCCACCCATCCCGCCGCGTTCAACTCCATCACCCGGAACCACTACATGGACGACCTCGTGGAATCCTTCAGCGACATCGCCACGGCAAAGAAGACGGTCAATGAAGTGGCCTTCGTTCACGCGCAAGCAGGCTTCAGGCTACGAGGGTGGAACTCCAACAAA